ACTCATTCAGCCAAAAAGATCCACATCAATGAACAACTGATTGCAGGAGAATAAATGCTACACACAAGTATGATGAAAACACACAAATACACACTGGAGGGTTTATAGTCTGCAGACACGATGCACACAGAAACATGCGTGCGCCCACAGGTAGCTGCACGCTCCACAACACAGACACACACACACACAGTGATGAAACTTTTACTCCACTTAGTCTGAAGTATTACCCGGCTATTCAGCTGCTCTCCCACTCTCCATCCCTCCCACTCTCCATCCGCTCCATTTGATGTGTTCAAAATAAAGACACAGCAGAGTCATTTTTACAGCACGATCTGTGAAAAAAAAAAAAAAAAAAACAATAAAAGAATAAAAAAATATCTCCTGCTGCTCGTATTGATTTGGAAGATCTGCTCGGTTCACGTCCTCGATCTCTCCTGCTTTGCTTCTTTGTTTCACTCACACTGGCAAAAAATAAAACTACCGCCCTCACTGCTTTGTCTCAACTCGGCTGCGTCTCTCAAACAGTCTGGGGAACATCTGTCAGTCAGTGACAGCTCGGAGGATGTGGTGGGGCGTCAATGCCGATATGTGAAATATACCCCAATTACCCCCCCCCCTTTTTTAAATTTCATCATTAATGTGTGATTTGGAACTGTTTTGGAAACATGCCGTGCTTACAGCAACATTTATCTAAAGCTGAAGGACGTGTGTGTATTCTCATAACCTCCATGATGCTCCAGTCGATCAGAGTAAGGCTTCTTTAATTCAATCAATATTTTCATATCACACTTTCCATTCAAGCAGCGCAGAGCTGCTTTTATAGAATCACAGCCCAGAACAAAGAAAAAAGATTGGATCTATTAATAATTGTTACAATCAATCAAACGCTCCACCACCTGTGGGAGTTATACTCATGTGTCTCCAACGCAAGTCAACTCATTTCGGCGTTTTTTTTGGGGGGGGGATCAAGTGTCATTCTCCTGCTCGGGTTTGCAGTGATTGGCCTCATTCTGCCACGTTTCAACCTTTGAGAAGTACCTCACGCTGCTGGCAAAAATATTTTAAATGTTTAAAGAGAATCTAAAAGTTGAAGAATAGATTCAAAGTTAAATATTATAACTGAAGATGTCAAGAGTTTCAATGCGATTTCAATAATTCACAAAGACTCCGAATGTCAGTCACAGAGAAATCGCTCTCAGGTTTGGTGTTAAACTCAAACATTATTAAGACTCATGTATCCATTTATTTATGATACCACATACAAACTTCTATCTCGGGACGCGACTGGCAGGCTGCGCCTCGCCTCACACATTGCATCCAAAATGATTTCACACTCATAGCCCCCCCCCCCCCCATAAGCAGTAACTCTGCTGAACTATGCACAACAGCAATTGCTTGTGTTTCACTGAGCACGACGAAGAGGCAGCAGCTAAACCCTGCAGAACTACCGACAGGACAAACGTCATTTCAGGCAGCAGTCGTGCAGAGCCCCCCCCTCCCCTTCCCCCTCCGGGTGCTCCACAAAGAGGGTCCACGCGCCAGCACAAAATGCATAAAATCTGCTTTCAATCACAAAAACGCCTCCACGGCAAACAAGCCCATTCCCTAAATGAAATACAAGCACAGCAATATGCCAGTCTGCAGCCCCAGTCAATAAAGCGTGGCAGATCTACACTCTGAATAAACCAGCCGAGCTATTAGACGAACAACGTGGGATTCTCCTGCAAGCCAAATACAATAAACAATAGTGGGTCCTGGGTGTTTGTATCATGCACGAGGACGCGGATCAAAATGCGTTTTATGCTCTGAATGTGAACAAGAACGTCTCCTTAATACCCCTCAACTTCTAAGTCTAATCCTACGCAATGAGTCCACTACTCAATCTCACACGCTGCGTTTGTGCACACATATAAAATCCTCTAATGTAAGTGCAGTAACCTTTTTTCACGGGGGACAGCATGTAATCATTGACCATTTATGAAAACGCTAAAGATACGAGAAAAACGACACAGGTAAAAGAAACAAATATGGCCTCGGAGGGTGAGTGATTTCAGCCTGTTGACGAGTTGGAAGGCGTGTGAGGGATTTTTCCTTCATGTTTCCTCGTCTCTTCCTCCTCACGCTGCAGACTCCGCAGAGGACTCGTAGGCGCCAGTTCAATGCCTTGTTTCAAAGGCGAGAGGGTTCGTAAGATCCCGCCTCTCTCTCTCTCTCCGCTGCCTTCCCCTCCCCCCTCTCTCACCTTCTGGCTGGATGGCAACGATGGGTCACGCTGCCTCCACCGAGAGCTTCGTCTGACAGATCTACACAAACAAAACGAAAAAGTAACGCTGACACTTGGCGGTTTGTGGCGCGTTGTTTACCAAACCCCGGCAGGATGGGAGGTAGACAACATTCTCCCAGTTACTTACAGTGTATCTGTGCTAACAAGCGTACCCTGGAGGACACTGTGACACGTGTAAAATGTTTGAAATGGTACACACAGAGAAAACGGATTCAAGGGAGATCGTCTCAATAGTCAAAAACATCAGGAAGAACAAAACACTGCAATTCTCCTCATCAATCTTCTCCATGACTCAGCAGTGTGACGTTCAGTGTCAAGAGCAAAAGGAACTGTAAAGAGGAGAATTTGTGTTTATGCCGTGTGTGTGTCGATCGTGTTCAGCTCTACGTGAAAGAGAAACGTGTTAGTAAAGAGGTTTGACTCCGATGCTCAGTCAAGGTGACTTCAGCGTGTTTCAGCTTGGTTTGAAACGGTGGTGCAGGCTGAGATCTCAACGTGCGCTCAAATGCTCAGCTATCAAAAGCAAGAATATTCTGCAGGACGCGATGGAGTTTCTGCAGGAAACAGAGGTTTTAATATTCATGAGATGCTCACAGGTCGCTCGTGATGACGGCGCGAAAGGCCACTTTGAAGAACGTTTTGGTCCAAAAAATATTTCAAAAGCGTAAGTAAATGACACACATGGACAGCCGGTAGGAGCAAAAACAGAAACATTTTCAATTCTGGTAAGAGACAAGGAAGATGTGATTATAAAATGACCAAAGAGTGGCCTCCCTGGCAAATGTTAAATCTCCTCTCAGCTGCCGTTTGGTGCTTTGGCGTTAAAGGTTAAAGTGATAAGACAGTAAAGACACAGGCGGGAAATTCTCAACAACAAGCTTAAAAAAATGTCCTCCCTTGTAAACATGAAACGTATTGATCGGCGAGCAAAGTACGTTTCGCCAGACAGCAGCGGGAGGAGGGAAAAAAAAGTGAACGAAGACAACTTTTCACATTGAATGGTTTCCCTGTGTGTCCGCGCTGGAGGAACGCTGTGAAATAAGCCGCAGGGCGGCGAGGACGCGACTGAGAGGCTGTTGGCGGTTTCAGGTGTCCAGAGGGGCCTCGGGGGGGGGGGGGCTTCCAGACAGGTCAAAAAACTACTGCAGTGCTAATCTACTTGGTGCCCGTTTCCACTCTGCACTTGTCCTTTTTTTAATATTTATCTTTTTTTAAGCCGCTCTCATCTCGTTCTCTCTTTCTGTTCATCAAAATGCTCCACCAGCCTCACCGATTTCCGCTTATTTTTCCTCATTTTATTTAGCTGAATGACGGCTCAGGCTCGACACAGATGAATAATTACTCACCTCAAGGGCAGAATCTTCAATCAGACTTTGAGGGTGTGTGTGTGTGTGTGTGTGGGTGTGTGTGAGTGTGTGATTCCTTCGGCAACACATGTCAAACGTCATGCCAATAAAGCTGATTAAGTGAATAGAAAAAAAAAAAAAACGTATCGAGCGAGTAAGTGTTGAGACTTACTCGCTCGATGCGTTTTGTTTTACTGAGTGTGTGTCCTGTGTACAAACAGACACACAAAGCTGTTTGTTTGTTTCTTTGGTGGTAATTCTGCCTCTGCTCCACTAAAGGTAATTAAACACAGTTTGAGTTTGAACCTCCATCGGCGGAGGTGTGAGATTCCCCTCTTCTGCAATGTTTTTTTTTGCTCAAACAACGATCTGAGACGTACCACTTTGGCGCAGAAAAAAAAAAAAAAAGCAACCAGAAAGGTCGGCGCTCGCTTTGGTGCTGATTCGATCAACCTTTATGACTGGAGCGTTAAACAGTTGGGATTGATTACGAGGCTCCGCGTTAATCTCGTTAACGCAACACAGAGGGTTGATTTCACGCCGGCCAGAAGTAAAAAAAGAAAAAAACAACTCTGCTGTAGCTGAAAGGTGCAAACAAACCTCAATTCCTCTCCGAGACCAATCTGGTTTGTGTTGCAAGGTCGAACACAAGACAACGAGCACCAGTGTGTGTTGTGGTTGATGACTAGCAGCGTGTGGCACTGGCTCAGAATGCTACCAAATGGCCAAAAACTGTGAGTGAAGGAGTGGAAGGCTGTGAAATTGAGCCATTAATCTCCGGACTATTATTTCCTCCTGTGATATAATGCCGACACTTCCTTGCAGCCCCGCCTGCAATAAACCAATCGGATAGTGTTTTGTCGAGCTGTATTTTCATGTGGCCCGACACTGACACAAGCGCTCTCTCATTTTCCTCCGGTCCTCCACAGGTGGAGGGGAGGGATTTATTACTTTCTTGTTTGATATATAGACCACCCACCGAAGCCCATCTCCTCTATATGCGCCTGAAACACAGCAATATCGCTGTCAGGGTAAATACCTCCAAGCCTCAGCCTTGCATTCAATTTCTGGCGCGATACGAGCTACTCTGCTCCAGCAGCTTTTTTTAATATTTCCTGCCTGAGTGAATGAATGTTAAACATCTCAGGAATGGTAAATACTCCTATTCCGGCGTGCCAAGAAGTAATGCCAATGACAGAGGAGTTAGGCAGGCAAATACAACTGTGCATGTACGGAACAAAAAGATAAGGGGGGGGCGCAAAAAAAATGAATTAAGCACAAACGTAATCATTGGGGGAATTAAAAGGAATTAACTTCTATTTAGAAGTGTGGAGGCAAAAAGCAGCGTATTCATAGAAAAGACATGCTGGAATCATTGAGAAGTTTAATTGATAAAATGACAGGGTTGCGAACAGCAGGAGAAAGTTAAAGAGCAAATATGAAAACATGGTGTGTTTTTCACTGCCTGAACAGGTAGAACCGTTAGCGATACTTTACAAGGAGCTTCGCCTTGGTGCTTCACTGAAGCACATTGCACACATTAGTGCATCAACTTCTGAAACAAATCGTCACGTTTATCGTTTCACTTGGGGCAAACAAGTTCTCCTTTGGTCAGCTCGTTTCCTCGGTTGGGGGTGTAAGATTTGGTTATGTAAATGTTACACCCCCAGTTATGTTGAAGTCAGTTTTAAAGAGATGAGGTCTGGTTTCCTTGCTCTGCTCGTGCAACGAAGCTTCATGCAACTCTGTGCACGATAATGTCGCCCCTATGCAAATGAGAGTACGATGTCACCGGGCAACTTTTAGCTACTTTTGGAACTAGTGCTGCAGCTACCGATGCAAAAAGACATGCATCTCGTACCAGTGTGCAGACCGGCAATCACATGAGAATGATTATTATGTGGTTATAACATTGTCTAATCAACATCTTCCTCAAAGAGGTCCGCTGAAGCACCAAATACTGTGTGGTAGACCTAAAATATCTCTAAGAGAAAATATTGTTCATACCCCATTGGAAAAAGGACTTTTTAAATTTTGATAGGGCAGGTTTATTGTTTACAGCACATACAAAAGTAAACTGCTGTGAGGAACGTCAGTCGACACAACTGCATTATTTTAAGTTTTGAACTCAGCTGAAAAACACTTGAATGCATTCATTATAAAGAAGAATCAAATGAAATGTTTTTTGCCTTTAACTCAAAAGAAAACAACCAAACACCAAAGACGTTTATTGAAATAAATGCAAAAACCTAGATGTTACCCAGTTGTGTACTTTTCAAATTATAATAAATATATACATTATATTTTTTTAAATAGCAAACAAACTCATTGTCATGATTTATTCTTTATTTCAGATCTTAAAAGGTGTGACACAATAAAACATGCACACAAACACACTGTGCTGACAGCAGCAATGAGTATATAAACACATGTGCATGTTTATTCCTCATCATCATTAGCCATAATTTAGATCGCCGCAGCCTGCATACATTTGCACGTGCACATAGAAATGCACAAACACAGACAAACACACAGCGCGGGGCAGCTGAGGGGCTAATTTGTTGAGGAAGAATTAATTAGACATTATTAGGGGGGGAAAACAATGGAGCGGAGGCAGGGTGTTTAACGGGGGGACGTCAAAGAGGCAAACCTGTCACGGAACAATAGGCTAATATCCACCCACTGCTTCCCTGCTACTGCTCAATTAATTCACCACACAATAGGACACACACACACACAAACGCAGCCAGAAAGTGCCTTTTCTGATTAGCCCCCAGGCATGTCGCTGTATTCATGTGTGTGCGCGCGTTTCTAATCGAGCAGATTATTTGGAATTGAAAGGCATCCGTTCTTCACGGCAGAGACAGCAGCTGCTGTGGACCATTTGATGAGTTACAGGACCAAACGCACGGATCTGACTTGACTAACATTCTCACGTCGAAGAGTCCGAACTCCTCTTTGAACACTTCAACCCGACTCGCGCTCCCTAAACCCCCCCCCCCCCTCCCTCCTCCCTCCCCCTTCCTCACAGCCACTTCTTGAGCACGGCCAGGGCGGTGTTGAAGGTGAACTGGGCCGGGTGGGTGCCGCGGTGCGCCAGCAGCAGGGAGCCGGCCTCGGGCCCGTGGCCCGCCGCCAGCAGCTCGGCGGCGGCTTTCCCGACGTCCCAGCCCCCCTCCTGCTGGTGGGCCAGCATGTGGGCGCTCAGCGGGGGGTAGAGCGCCGAGGAGACGCAGCCCACCAGGAGCCCGGCGTCCAGCAGCAGCGAGAGGAGTTCGCCGTCGCAGGAGGCGGCCGTCGCCTGGAGCAACACAAAAGGGGGGAGGGAGAAAAGTGTGAGCGCGCATGTGGTGAGGTGTGATTTGCGATTTTTCTTCTTTCGTCCCTGCGGAAAGATGCCAAGAGGAACAGCCGCGACTACACAACCGGTCCATCTGCCGGGTAAGCAGCTCTCATTGGTCGGGCCTTTCTCCAAACACCCTCTGGCTGTTAAAACACTCGATGTGTCGGGTAGATTTGGAGATTCACCAGCCGAACATTGTTCCGTAGCGCCCTGCTGCTGCAGCAGCAGTGATTCCAGGCTGTGCGTGATTACAATGTTACATGCATGAGGACAACCTGACCAGTTCAGAGGTCAAATCCCGCGTTGACCCCGGGGGACTCACCCCGGCGCCCACAAAACAAAACAAAATGCTTTGAGAAAAACATCCTTGTTTACCCGCAACAATCATGTGCGGCAGCGAACCTTTACGTAATGTTTGAATCCCATTTTCCGCCTGTTTACATCAATAAAATGCATGCAAATTCAAAACGCTAAAATGCTGCCGGGGCTGCTGGGAGAAGTTCACAGGCGGCGTGCCGGCGGGGGGGGGGAGGGGGGGAGGCTCCCCGGGACTCTGCCCATCTCTTCTGCATCCTCTCACCTGTTTGCTGCGCTCCATTATTGAGCCGGCACTTGTCTAAACTATACACGCTCGCACGCACGCACAACAGCCAATGCCTGTCAGGGTATTTCTGGAAGTGAGGCCGATCAATTATGAATGTGGAGCTCATGTCTTCCCTTCTGTAGTTGAGAAGGGGAGCCGGGACAGGGTGGATTTCTCTCCCTCACCTCTAAAATCTCATGTTTCAAAAACAAAAGATCACCGTACATATATATATATATGTTTTCTCATTGCACGTACGAGTTGTTCCTTCTGCTACTGCGAGCAAATCTGACATAGACAATTAACACTTAAATTTCATCATTTCGTTGGAAACATTCCTGGATGTGATTCAGCATTTAAATACAATACGAGTTCATGGTTCCTTTGGCTCCAAAGGGAGACAGAGGTTTGACAGTTATAGAGATCCAGTACAGTCGTGCATGACTAATCCCTTAATTTCTCCCTTCCATTCAGAGATGGGACTAGATGAATCACGACAAGCTGTCGGAGGGAGGGAGGGGAGAGGGGAGAGGGGGGGGGGGGGCACGACGGACAAGACAGACGGAGGCATTTTTGTTTTAAATGAGAAATAAGTGAGAGACTCCACAGGAGACGGGCGGACATTCATATTAAAGGTCTCCGAGGGAATCTGAATGCACTGCAGAGCCAACGGGAGGCACAAACAACTCAACACTTCAAACTTTTGGAGCTGCAGTCGACATTGACCTATTTTGAAGCTCAATATCTTACGAAGATAATGGGTGTGATCGTATTGTTCAGAATCAGTAGTCAGCACAACAGAAAAGTACGTCAAGGCAAGAAATCGATTGGCTGCAGGAAATGAGGTAAAGTCGTTGAACCAAAATGTTTATAAAAGGTCAATTTGTATATATTTGTATATGTTATTTTATTCAGGTAGAGCCTTTCATACAGGTGAGTGCAGATCAATGTGAAGCTCAGAGAAGCGACAGCCGGAAATAAGAGCAAGTGGAGGAAAAAAACAACAAGGACAAAAACATTTCAGACAAGTTTGCTAACAAGGAGACAGTTAGGACAGGCGGTTACTTTACAAAATAAAAGGATAAATGATGAATGAAAGTGATTGTGAACAGCTAATTGCTTAAGTCATTCAAGTCATTTATCTTGAATAAAAGCGTCCCGTCTCCACGTGAGGAAAAGCTCAGTTGTTGACGCGCTAAAACGTGACAAAGCGAATCGTCTCGAAAGAACTGCTGCATCCATCATTTAAACAACTGAAAACTTTTATGCTATAAAAAGTTTGTCTAACCCACAAATATGCTGAATATAAGTCTTTTCACTGACTCACACCTCACAACCCGGAGCACAAAGTCGAGCTGCAGTACAGCATTTGGTCATGAAGTATTGTCAAGCGAAAAAAGAAATTACGTTACGCTGCGATCTTTTCTGTTATTATATAATGAATTAACAATTAATGCTGAGGGAGACAATTTCATTGCAGTCCATCCAATAGCGGAGGTACGAGCATGTCTACAAATAAGACCTAAAAGGTAACTAAGCCCAATCCTTCTTCAATGTTTTAATTGGTGCCCTTTGAAGCTTTTATTCTGAGTAAATGATGCACAAATTACTTTGACTTGATTGGACTGGAGTGGGTGCTAATGACTGAAATCACCTTCTGTGGTGTTTGGCTGTAACGAGGACTCACACCTACGGAGCACACATGGCTCCGTGTAACACACACACAGACTCTCTCTCTCACACACACACACACACACACACACACACACACACACACACACACACACACACACACACACACACACACACACACACACACACACACACACACACACACACACACACACACACACACACACACACACACACACACACACACACACTATTATTCCAGGCTATTACTGTTTTGAGTCTCAGAGTCAGTTGGATTGACAGTGGAGCTGAAAATAGATGTGAAGGAGCAGACAATTGCATGTCCTTTCTACAGCACGAACGGCTCAGTCCACACCTTTTCAGGGCTGATGGTACGCAGCACATGGGGGGTGGGGAGGTTGAAATGACCCCCACTATCCATTTCTACCGTGGTATTCTGGACTCGAGTCACAATTATTAAATCTGCCAGAGCTAAGAAATGGCAAACCGGTCCCTAAGTCGAAATACAGGTCACAGTCCAGTCTACTGTACCGCTGACAGACCTGTTCCCTCCCCCTCTCTCCTCCTGTGAGGCTTCTCTCCTCAGCCTCTTTTCCACTCCCCCCGGGTCTCGCCTGCACAAACAGTTCATCGCAAACAGAATCTGACTGAGGAGGGGATCCGTCCATCATGCCTCCCTTTCTTCCTCCAAAGGTCGGCAGCTTTAAGAACATGAAAACCTGTCCCGCGGCGTATGTTTATTTTGCGGTAAAGGGGTGTGTGTGTGTGTGTGTGTGTGTGTGTGTGTGTCAGGTTAAAAGCCCCCCCGGAACCACCTCTAAAAGGTTCAAACAACACTTTGTCTCTCTAGTGAAGCGATAACAGGAGGCATCTCCTGTCTCCAGTGAGAGTGTGTGTGTGTGTGTGTGTGTGTGTGTGTGTGTGTGTCTTCCACCATGCCGTTGCCGTGCGCAGTGAGTGAATGAACAAACACTCAGCATGACAAGACACCTGACACATCAAACGGTAGCAATAACATGCCGGCGCCCCCCCCCCCCATCCCCCCCGTCCCCCCCGTACTGACTTCTTGCCCTGTGAAAGACAGCCAAGTTGTCTCTCCCACTTGTCTTCAGGGGACGCTAAATATTGACTGATTGGTCTGGTCAATTTTGAACACCCTTGTTTTCTACTCCTGCTCGGCACGTCTCTGGTGTCCTGCGTGCGTCCGTCTCCTGCTCCAATCTCTGAGAGCTTGATTTGAATTAGGATCCACGCACATCGCCTGATACATAATGTACGGCCTCCGTCGATCATTTCTATCATAAAGCATCTTTGGCAAGCCGGGCCAGTGTCTTCTTCCCTTCTCCTCTCTTCCTTCTCTCTGCTCTGCTTCCTGTCCCTCCGTCCTCGCTGTCACCGGGCTTTAGGGGGGCAACCGAGCGTGCACAAACAACACACACACACACACACACACCAACCTGCCCTTGCTTGCAGCACGGCATGATTGAAAGTGACAGAAAAGCTTGTGAAGCCAAAAGAATAAAAATAAAAGTGGCAAGTGACGCACATGAGCAAACAAAACCACGGTGAGCAAACACAGCAATGCCTGAACATTTTGCTGTTGAGTCCAGCTGTGTGTGCCTGAGTGTGTGTGTGTGTGTGTGTGCTTGTGAGTGTGTTCCATCAGCCTGGTGTTAACCTCTGGCTCCCTGCTCATCCGCGGGCCATACATCACCAGGAGGAGCAGGGGGGGAAGTAGAGGAGAGGAGGAAATAATGGGGAGGGGCTACATGTGCTTTCTGCTCACAGTGAAGGGAAATAATAGCCTGCGTGGTATTTCCCTGCATCACGGAGAACAATAGAACCTCTTCTTCATTACCGGCTCCATCTACTACGCCTTTGTCTCCCTTTCGAGTCATCTACTCTACTCCCACTCCTTCTCCTCCACCCGTGCTGGTCTCCTCTGCAGCGAACAAGAAGCTAAATAAAAAAGGAGCTCACGCCACAGCTACACAAATTACTTTTACTCCCTTACTTTTTTTCCGCCAAGTGTTTTTCTATAACAGGATTTTAATTAAAAACTAATCTTCAGAATGAATCTTGTTTTTTTTTTGGCGATCCAGGGCCATCGCTCTTATGGGAGAAAAAAAAAAATTGTGTCAATACTGGGGAGGGGGAAACAATGTGCACCGTAATCTATGACATCAGACACAGAGCAGAGTGCGAGGGAACACACAGCGGTGGAAGAAGTGCTGGAGATAAGGCCTGTCAATCACTCAGAGTGGCACGACATTTTTATGTAATTAATTAAGGGCGCGTTGTTTTGCGTTTGATAAATATGTGATGCATTGTGGCCAAAATCTGCCTCAGGCGTGATAATGTAGACATGAAGGTAAATAAAACCACATGGTTGTCTGTGATAAATGTGTTTTATATAAATGTGGGGGGGGGGGGAAACAAAAGAAACGCCAAAAGTAATTTAATAATAACAACAGTTAATTAATAGTTAAGCTCCCGTGGGGCTCTCAGAGTTTCTGACCGAATAAGCCACACTAAAATAAAAAACAAGGACCTGTGATCTGCTAATAGCCGGCTGCTGAAGAGTCCATTTGCAGATCTGACATAACGTGTTTGGACATTATGGTGAAAAAGGGTATAATCTAAGTAAACAAAAAAAAAAAAAAAAAAGTTTAGAAAAAGAGCACAACGTTGTGATCTCGTGTGGCGAGTTGCTATTGTGGTTAATCGCACTCACTCACATTCCCAGCAAGTTGCTCTGTACAAGCACTTTACCTCCAGGGTCGCAACAGAAGACAAAATTACAGATCTCGTAAAGCCTTTTTCCATGAGTGTTACAAACCCGCATGCAGTGTTTTTCTATCTCACAAGTCTTAAAACTAATTGGATGTTGCTCGGAAAGGACTTCCGTGTTTCAGGTCCAATCGGCCATGACTGTCCCTCGCCAGCAGAGCCTGCTTGGTTTTTAAAGCCCTGGCCTCCCCAATTACATATTTTTCCATTATTAAAACGGATATCCTGAACCCCCTTCTAATTTAATTGGAATGAACAGATTCCCTTTAAAATAGTTTTAGGCCGTCGGAAACAAGGAAACAAGTAGCAAAAAGAAAGAGAGGGAAGGGGTCTGCACGGACACTGCGAGCTGTGATCAGATTCTCTCGGTCGTGCGCTGATGTTATCTTCAGATGAACTCCGCTCGGCTCTTCTCAGAACACGGCCCACGTTCGCTCGGGGAGCGGCGAGATAATGTCTCAGAGCAACCCCCCCCCCCTCCCTTCCCTCGGCGCCGTTCCCTCGCCCTCGCTTGCTTGCTTCCCGTCTTCGTACGTCTGCGATCTCCCTTCTCGCTCTGAACAGCGATTCCACCTCAGTCTGCCTTCCTCGTCCTCACATCTAAATCACACATCTTCTCTCCGTTTCAGACTTCAACGCGCCGCCCCTCCTTTCCCCCGCGGGATAAAAGCGGCGTGTGGCTCAGGTGGGCCGACTTATACGCCGACGTTAACGTTTCATTTGATGGGGCGGCTCGGCCGTTTAACAGAGAGGCTTTCTCCTATCTGATGCAGGAACAAAGAGCGGGTCTGCTGGGTCTGAGACGCCTTCTTTGGGACAACTGCTTATCTGATGGGGGAACAGTGGAGGGCGGCCCACACAGTCTTAAACCATCACTCTCTGATCCAACGGTGGATTACCACAAGTACAGGCAGCAGGCCGATGAGCACGTGCTTATTCGAATGTGGAGACACACACGGCCGTGTTACCTACTCGTTTTCAAAATCATGCAAAAGCCGGACTACCAGAGCCAACAGCGCCCGTTACCTTCTGGGGACACAAACAAAGAGACGGCAAACAATGATGGCATCTCCCGTGGACTCTGGCTTCGTCTGCATCTGGACAAGGACAATGCCGACCGCCACAATGTAACTTACTGCATCCATGCTGTTGATCTGATCCAGAGTCTGCTGCAGGAGTTGCTCATCGCCGCTCTCGGCCATCAGCTTGAGTGCAGGCTGCAGGAGGCTCTGCCGGTCTTGGAGCAGCAGGGTGGCTATATATCTGATGCACTGGAGGGGAAAAAAGCCATGGGGGGGGGTTAATGGAAAGATTGTGTTGATGAATGGATAAATGGAGGCCGGGTAGGGATAAAGGCAAATGAGAGAAAATATATGAGGGAGGAGAAAAGAGGAGATCAGGAGACAGTGGGAGGAAAGGAAAGGTAAAGGTTAATCGATGTTCCTATACTGTACATGCGGGAGCGTAATACTTTTCAAAAGGCCTACACACAAAAAACACACACACGCACCAGGCACACAGTGCTATCCAGTAATATATGGATATCACAATGCAATCTGACTTCCCCGTGCTCCGGCGGTTTCATTCCAGCAGATTTAAATTAAAGCGGTTGAGAACAGAGTAAAAGGCCTCCTTCTGCACCTCCCACCCCTCTTCCCACACTGATATTAGACAGACAGGCAGACACGAGCCTATTCACACTAAATAGCATTAGTGCTAAACTAATATCACAGTCAGCCGGAGCTGGGCACACAGAATGGCATTAGGCTCACAGCTTCCATGGTGCTCAGTATGGCATGAATAGCATTAGAAGCAGTCAGACATCAAAGAGCGGCAAACGGCCTACAACACGTTGCGAGACGCACTGAACTGATGCGAACACGTTGCAGTGGGTAACGTGCTTAAAAGCTTCAGGCTCCTGTGTTAAGATATGCGGTGAAATGCTGGCACTGCAGGGAGATATTCATAATAATGTTTATAGGAGGGGAATCGAAAATGTGTTGGGGACTGGGATTTCTTTCTGTGGCTTTTCACCGTCCTCAATGTAATCTTTGAGGTTTGAATGTGCATAAAAGGTCAGTTGAGTTGAGTCACTCTTCAAACCGATTGGTCTTTGGTTTTCAACTCTCAGTCTCAGTCGGTCCTTATTGACCCGAGGCAAAACATAAAAATCACAAATTACCCCCCAAAATAAAAATATGTTTCTATCTGAAACTCTACACTCATTTACATGAAAAACAATGAGAGATTATTATCTGCTGCTTACCTGCGCAGGCAGCTGGTGTTTGGTGTTGTAGATGGACCGCACCATGCCGACGACCTGCTGACCCGGGTCTAATTTGCACTCTGGCGCCTGGCGGTGGGTCAGCAGGGCCGAGGTCAGCGCCACCCAGGGGTTACGCTCCGACTCTGCCCTGGAAACGGAGAGCGAGATGCAGCCGTGAATGAGGAGCGTGTCTGCGTGCAGTCCTCCGCTGAGCTCCTCGGGGCAACGTGGGCCGGTGAATGCATTCGCGGTATTAGTGAGCGTGCTCAGCACAACCGAACTGGGCATTAAAATAAAATATATGGTAAGACTTAAACCAATACTCTCCCGATGGAGATCCTGCAGAAATTACCGGGTCACACCAGACGACTGCTGTGCGTCATTGTGAATACTGACGTGAGCTCAGACAGAACTATCGAGAGGTTTGCAGTCGATCTAATGAATGCTGACGTTGACATGCCAGCGAGGAGGAAAGATGTTTGACCACTTTACTCCTGCGGTTAATATTAAACACCTACACGCTGCATTCTCTCTCACTCTCCCTCTCTCTTTCTCTCAGGGAACGCCAGGGGGGGACCAGCCGCCGGCGCTGACAGGCGTGGCTTTGTTGACACGCTCCTTTATGAGGTCTTCAAGACCTTTGCTAATGCCTCCAGAGTAACCGATTAGCTCCCAGCGAGGCCAGCAAATGCCATCGACATTAAGGCAGTGCGACCTTCACCGATCTTTATTAATATCAGTCATAGGAGGGAGAAAATACACCTTTGGGAAGCACAGAGCGACTCATTATCTGTTAATTAGATCTCGGTTGACGGATGGATCCTGGTGAAAGTATTAATTGTATTAATATTAGCATTAGCATGGCCTGGAGTCAATGCGATAGTTATAGATGCTGCGGTTGCGCCAAAACATGTGCCTGTACATCCATCCGCCCATCTAGCAACCTTCTTATCCACTTGCCCGTGCCGAGCGCCATCATTTGGTGTGAACCGTCTCGCTGAGACAATCTGCATCGTCACATTGCCGCCACCTCGAGGGAGGTTGGTATTCCTTATTTTATCTATCCGTCCGTATCTATATCTATCCATCCATCGCCAGAGCCTCATCATCCGGTCTTTAACCTTAGAATAGATTAATCACTCACCTATCAGACAACCAATGCACCACTGTTAAACAAGTGATGAAACCGGCCAGCGCTGCTCAAAGTCGTGTGTGTGATTAACATGACGAGCAGCACATTAAATGCCTGGAAGGGAAAAGTAGGGGATTGGAGATGACAGGATGAATCCGGTGCAAACGAGGGCTTTGTTTCACTCCGGGTGTTTTCACACGCTTAAGGGAAGAAAGTAACGTGCTGATAAATCTCTAGCTATATGAGGAGAAGCAAAAAAGAAAAACACAAAAGGCTGGAACCCTGATGTCAGATTAGCCGCCTGAAGGGTGTCTTAAGACTTGTTAGAGGAGAGAGACCCCGTGATACAAGTGTGTGTGTGTGTGTGTATTTATGCCAAAGTAGATGGTGTGTGTGATCGGAAGAGCTTTGAAAGGAGGAAGACGGAGACAGCAGCGAGGACAGCAGGGCTCCTGTGTGTGACCATCGCCATCAAAGCCGGCCCTCTATCCGGCTACCGGGGGATGGGGGGGGGGGGCGTCTCCTTCGGATGATGATGCGACCACGGGAGCACGCTCGTGTGCCGTTTGGCACGCGGCTGCTTCCTGTGCTTTACCAGGCGGGGCGCCGGGAGGCTCTGCTGCACGAGACTCCGCCAATTCTGTCACAGGGTGCAGCGTGAGTCACAGCCAGCTCTCCATCCGTGCTTAGAATCATGACTCAGTTTTGGGGATAAGCTTTTCAGATCCAACTCAATATAGCTCCCAGAACCGCCCCGCGTAGTCTCACTGGAACACATTTCTACAGATCCACGCAGTAAACGGTGCAGATTGAAAGTCTGACCGAAAGCCAAGGTTAACGATGTGTCTCGGAAAGCTCAAATCTAAAGCGGAACATTTGAAGGTTACTCTGAGTTTTGGTTCCTAAAGGATGACTGCTGGATGCAGCGTCCGTAACACATAAAATGCACTCTGAACACAGATCAGCCCGAAATTTCCGGCTCTTAAGCTTCAAAGAGGAACACTACATCACAGCACGCTGGTCGCAGCAAATTAACTCCAGCGGTTTAAATGAGGCGGACTGAAGCGGCGAGCCAAAAGAAAATCCATAATCGGAAGCTCAGTTCGTATTCAGTGTTGTATTTGAATTTAAATCAGAATTGCAGAACAACGGTCCAGCTGAAAGAAGCGATCGTGGCAGGCGATCTCCCAGCAGTGGCGATTTGACTACAGCTGTTCTGCACTGTCAAAGTCAGAGAAGTTGCGTAGTCCCGGCACCTAATCCCATCTCTCCTCCTGCTTCTCAGTGGAAACGACGCTGGCTTTACACAAGCTCGATACAAACTCTGCAGTCGCTAATGGACTGACGACTTCGAAAGCGCTTCTCGCGCGTGCTGCGCATTCTTTTCACTGTGTTTTGTTACACGCGATCCGGGAAGACGGCCTCCAGCCCCGCCGGACACATCAGAGGCAGGTCGGGAAGTCACTGCAGGAACGTGGTCCCCTTATCTGACAAAGGACAGTTCATTTAGTGTCCATCATGCTGACACACACACACACCTATAAATAGCTTTGTGAGTTTCTTACAACAACTGGAGAAGAACTCTTTAAATTGCTGATGGACACGGTTTTAAACACCGTCTGCCTGCGCCGGAAGGAATAAACTCCCGACACCACTCGCTTTTAATCAAGAACAACGGAGGAGGAGGAGAGCAGTCAAAGCATTAGGCACTAGCCAGCACCGGATGAGGCTCATGAGGCGCCAGCTGGTGCAAGAAGCCCAGAACCCGAAGCTTTGCGAAGACGCCCGTTTCTATTTCCGACCAGTCTCTGTCTCCAATTCCCACTGTCGGGGAAAATGACAACACATTGCAGAGAGGCCCATCGTTATGGCGACGTCTTCAGTGCTAAAGAGATAAAATCACGTGTCTTACACTTCCTCGTTCAACATCGGTGGCCATGCTTGTAACAGGAGGGCGAGCGGCTGAAGGTCCTCCCACTTTTCCGCAGCTTCCAGCAGCTCCAGGAAGAGGGCGTAGCGTTTCTCCTCGTTCTCCACAGCTTCTATCTGGACCTGGGAGGAAGGGTGGAGAAAAGGGGAAGAGGGTGAGAAAGGGAGTTAAAAGAGCAGAGGCCCCCTGTGAGGCTGCTAATTATAACATGACACCAGTTCATTGAGCACAAAGCGCAAATTAGGTAAATGAAGAGTTGACTAACTAGAGTGGCCATCTGTTTCTTTCAAATCCTGCAGCTCGAGCGATGTTGTGGATAAATATGTTGATAGATGGCGGCGTCAAGTGGATTTCGGTTATTTTTAATATCTTGGATACTTCCACCAGACTCCATCCAAAACGAACGCTCCACAGAAACGGGGAGGCAGCTTCCATCGATTTCAAATGAAACTCCCGATTGGGATGACAACCTAATGATTGCGCCACAGTTTGTGGGAAAAGGCATCCTGCCAGAAACAAGAGCCCAAATGAACTGAGCGAATCACAAACACTCAAACAAGACGAGCATCAAAGCAAACTTTACACCAGCGCCAGCCAGGAGGGAACCCGGGCGGCGCGCCTCGTGGCACGTTTCACCGCTCGCTTCAAAACAACGTCACCTGTGGCCAAACTTATTTTATTTCATTACGAGGAAGAGAGAGATTGCGAAGGGGAGTGTAGAGTGAAAAGGAATGAGGGGGGGGGGGGGGGTTAATGTGGGGAAGAAAAAAAAAAAAAAAGAAAGGAGGAGGAGGCGGAGGGAGAGTAATTAATTTTCTTCTCAAAGGTTGGCTTCTAGTGTGATTTAACAGTTCAGAGCGCGGCTGATTTCTGAGGGGAAAACTACAACCTGCCAAAGCGTGGCTGCTGCAAAGACGGGCTCTGTCTCTCTCACACACTCACACACACACACACACACACACACACACACACACACACACACACACACACACACACACACACACACACACAAATATCACCCGCAGACAGGCTCATAAAACATAGTTTCAGCCTCAGTGGTGGGATGAAATTTATAAGACCGGATATCCATGTAATGCCCGGCGCTATTTCACTGGCTTAAAAGGTCTATACACAGTCTAATTTAAACATTTTAAGACACTAGCAACAGTCTGCGGATGAACCTGTTAACACGGGCAGTTATTACGGCGGTTTGATAATGAAGCTGGGTTAGTACACGAACTACTACTACTACTGCACTTCTATCAGCGCTGGTTTCGATCTACAGCAGCTCCAAATGACTCTCATTTGAGTTTCTCAAATTAAGACGTCCCATTGAAGATAATTTAATGAAATGCCTTTGGAGGCAGTAAAACACTTTTTCTTAGAGCGGATGAATAGGTACATTAAGATGGCAAAGAGAACCAGGGGCCATTCTAATTCTTAATAAAATGACGACAACCTTTCTGTTTCAAACAGTTATTGATTGATTATTGATAATGCTGGAAAGATTCTGTGGCTTGGAGCTCCTGTGGCTGCATGTCGCATCTGCAAAACGGCACACCTCTGCAAGCTTCTGAACGAAACATATAGCCGAGACATTTGTTAAAAAGCCCCAGTGGAGCTCTGCGGTGAGTCCCTTTACCACGTGGATCTTCGTGCAGAAGTGGAGGAAGCCTCACGTAATTTATTTTCTGGTAACTACAGGAGGCAAACAGATGTAACTGATTGAGTGTTAATGAGAAATATAAAACATAAAAAGCACTCATTTTAGTGATTTAAATTAGCCACAAACATCCACTCATCACAATTTTAGCTAATATGCATCTAATTGCAAAACCCTAACAGCTATTTTACATTGGAATTATAAATTGCAGTCTTTGACAAAGAGACAAATAAAGATGTATATGGAAAATATAAAGAATCTTCACTCTTAAATTAGAAAGTTACAAACCTTTACAAGATCCATAATCCTGTATTTAAAAAGCACCACCAACCTTTATTATTTCTATAGGATTAATTATTAAAGAACGCTAAAGATCGGCTGATGTCCTTAATAAAGTACTGATACCGGTTTTAAGACATCGGTGGTGTTGAACCTCTAATTCACAAGTAAATGCTTATGCAAATAAGCAGCAGCACCGCAGGTCCTTGCACAGTGGTGTAGTGAAGCGTCTCACGTGGGGGGATGGAGCAATAAATGAGCAAAGCTGGAGCTCGGGACCCTCTGGAAATGGAGGTCATTTGGGAAACAGAAGTGGAATCTTAACTACCTGTAAAAAGCCCTCGCTGCAATCTAAAGCTCTCAAATCCATCACTGAATGTAAACCGCAACCCAAAGCCTGTTCATCATTGTTATTGCCGTACTCTGTTATGAATGCTGAATACTGAACACTCTCTAGCTGTTGAGGCATTTCATATGTTATAAGTTATATGTTATATATAAGTTTTATGGCCACATTTATTAATCTTTTTGATATGTAAGGGAGAATGCTTTGTGAAGACGCCGGTTTCTGTTTCCGACCAGTCTCTGTCTCTGTTCCCACCGTAACAATCAACACTCGCCTACAGTGGGTCACAAATGAATGGCTGAAAATGACTACGTGGCTGCGGGGCTTTCATTGACTTAACAGTGAGGGATGGTAATCAATTAATCCAGTGATTAAAATCAGCGTTTCCTCTGTGGTGCAGAAAGGGCAGGAGGGCAGAGCGAGGAGGGAGGAGACAAGACCGTCAGCTAAAACCACGACACGAAGCTGGCAAATTGGATCGGACAAGTCGGTCAGTCAGTCATTGTATATTTTTCCCCTTCCGCATCCATCGAGGACTTTAAAACACTTTCCAACGTTCCCATTGTTGTCCATCTGTCCATAAAAGATCAGCTACAGAAGTGGACAGCAGGGTAATTGCCAAACTGTGAACAAATACTATACATTTGTCTTTTTTGGCCCATTCCCACTTCCCCATTTGGAGGAAAAGTGTTTAAACATTTACACCGAATAAAGCTCCAATAATATTTTACTACATTGGATAACTGGCCACTACAGACCTGTCCAGCCATAGACTTCTCTCCATGCCAGAGTGCCGTTGTGTCTTTATTTACTCTGATGGAAGCTGCAAGCGCTACTCACCAGCTAACAGAAGTTTCTTTCTGGGCCAGGGAGCGGTTATTCTTAACCAGCTGCATCCGTGTGTGGGCTTAAATCGGTTACATTTCTTTAAAATCTCTGTTCAGAGCTGCTGTAGTCCATCGACTCTGTCCAATGAGCTGCTGTTAGCTTATTTGGCTAGCTACGAGAGCTATGAACGGTAGCGGTCCCTGAAGAATGTCGTTGCAGCCATTGAAATCGCTGTTGTCTTTAATCATTAGTCTGACTGTCGTCATCGTATCAAAACGATCAAAAATCGGGTCGAACAAATGGTCAACTACCCCTGTTATTGCTTTTGAGTAATAGTATTAAAACAGACTTTGGTCGACAGTTTGATTAATCAATAATGAAAAAAATGTATATTCATCACAATCGACATCACAACAGGTTACAAGCTTGAAACCACTCAGCTTCAAGAGCAAAAAAATAACAAGTACAACATGTTAAAAAGCAGATGTTTACATGCGCGCGCACACACACACACACACACACACACACACAGGCAGGGTTGACACTAGGTGTTTTCAGGAAGGAAGCAGCGCTAATAAAATAATGCCACCCCTGTGCAACACACTGGCTTGCTGTGATTGGAAGCAGGCATGCTTTCAGGCAAAATAATGCCAAAAGAAAACATGGAAATGAAGTAAGCAGTCGGGAAGGCTGGAGTAAATTAATCTTGACAAGTGTAGCGGTTACCAGCAGCTAAATTATTACTTTGACACCCCCTTCAACTGAGTGAAAAATGAAAACATCAAAGTGTGTCGAGTGACTTTCCGAAGCGAAGAAGACTGACTAAAATGTCATCACTTCTAAAGTTTAAAGTAGTATAAACTCACATGTACATTTTTGGACCAAAACGCAATTACAATTATTAGTTTGTCTGAAAATCTCCACTGATTAAAAACTGCAGTGCAGTCCGAGTTGTTCAGCGTGTGAAAAAAACAGAAACAGAGTTTGAGACTACGTGTGTGTGTAAGACAGACGGGAGCCGCTTCGGGGCAAATCGATAGGCAGAGCAGAACGCTGTCAGAAGCCACGTGGGGGTAAGACACACACACACACACACACACACACACACGGTTTCACCAAAGGATAAAAATGGAGATGAAGTAAAAAAAAAGACTGTGTGTGTGTGTGTGAGAGAGAGAGAGAGAGAGACAGATGAAAGAGGAGTCACCTCTTCCTCTTGGGAATGACGGGCATGAGATACACAAACACACACACACACACACACACACACACACACACACACACACACACACACACACACACACACACACACACACACACACACACACACACACACACACACACACACACACACACACACACCATGCAAACAAAGCATGTGTGCACACAATCAAAAACAATGTCCTGAATACCACTAATACCGAGCTTCAATAAGCTGCTGTGAAATTATTTTCTTTATATGTCACCGTCTTTCCCACGGAAATAAACTCTCACTCTGTAAATATTTCAGCATCAAAATGCTTCACTGTCGTCTTTGAATTTAAAGTCACACTTTAATATCGTGGATAATTTTAGACACACACACACAGCTTAAAGGATGTGGGTTTTGCCCAGAAGACAGAGACGTGGTGCCCTTTACAGTGATCTTTTGAAATTACCATTTTGTCATTTACTTCGTGTACTGATGTGTATGTGCAATCCTCAGAGTTGTTTTTCGGCAAGCAGCATTTTGGTCTGGCCTCTGATGAACAGTAGCATTACGCAATCAAGATCATAGATGAGAAAGCTGGGATAAAATAGTCAGTCAGAAAGAGACAATTAGGGGTCTGCCTGGCGAACTCCCCCCCGCCCCCCCATGTCCAAGAACCTCCACAACTGATTAGACCCACTTGGGTTCAGTCTGTGTCAAAGCAAATAAAGAAAAATTGCCAATTTGTTGAGAGAGATAATACAACAGTGGTCATTTATTTCTCTTTTATTTCATCTAAAATGCAATGCATGCAATGCATAAGAAATTATAATTATAAAATAAATATTTCATTAAATTGTATTCTGTTGTTACTTTTTCATCGCTGACACGCGTGCAACATTACTGATAACATAAATTAACATATCGGTGTGCGAGTGGGTTTTTTTGGCGGTGTTTTTGGTACTGTAAGAATACGTGTTCAAGATTTGGAGCCTGGTCGGGGTTATCAAAAATTCAGCCGAATGACTTCTCTCGTTCTGGAAAATTTATTTGTCAGATCACAGGTCAAGTATCAGCGCTGCGTTTGCAAAGGCAGGAGCCGTTCAGGCAGCACACAGGCCGGAAGAACAACTAACTAACATCAGCAAGAACATCATGTTTTATAACCCTTGAAAGACAGAGAAGGAAAGATTTCTATTGGCCCTAAACTGGCGTAGAGGAGGACCTTCCACCTCCCGCATCTAAGATCCGGTCACATCCAATGTCCAGACTCCTGACTTAACGTAAACATCGTAAACAGAGTGTGTATGTTGAATAGTGTTGGTGTGTCCCTAACCCCCCTTTGGCTGGTAAATCTTCTAGTTGACCCGCAGACCTTACATTCCTCAGCCAGGACAGAAACTGACTCCCCATCCTGTCGGACTCGTGTCTGCCTG